GCACATTGGGCGCGGTGCTGGTATGAAGTGACACGGAGTGGTTCAGCGCATGAATGGCAGCTCAGCCATGTATGGATGGACTGCTTTTGGCGATTAAGAACAAAGCGGTTTTATGTGGAGTGCACCATCAGCGAAACCTCACCTATCAATGGCAGTTTGTGTCCCGTCAAACCAAGGATTTGCACAGGTGCTGGACGGATTTCGGCTTGGGGACAGATCGACCGAAGCACTTCAGTATAAAAGATAGATTCCGTGCTTCCCGTGTCCACAACGAATTTGTGCTTCGTGCCCAACTGTAGTGTCATATTTTTGTATAGGAATGTAGCACAGTAACTTTCGGATCGTAGAGAAAGTACAAGGCTTGTGTCTTTCTCAGCTGTTGGCTGGGCGAGATTGCAGCGGGGTTGTTTGCAAACTCTCCGAATGTGGCTAGTTTTCTTTCCTGCACGCATGACACTCGGAATCGACAAGTGGAGTGCCAATGGCAAGCTAGACAGGCACGGGTTGATATGTTTGTCTTTCCCGGAAGGGTCATGTTGTGGCTTCGGTGTGTGCTTGGCCAATGGAGGTCGGACTGGTATCCGTGTCTGTCGTTGGAATAGGGTAACTACTTCACTGGAAGTCGCTTGTATCAGATCATAATCTTGTTCACAGATCTTCCGTACCTATACGAAAGTGAATATTTCATGTTCTCATTGTGAATCACGATTTGGCAATAGTCAGTGACTATGTAATTGGTTGTTGGTTCCACCCGCACCCGACGATTGGGATTGATAGTTTCTGGTGAATCTGATGCTCTCAACGATTATGATTTCACCACATCAAATCAGAGAGCAATGTATTCAAGGTTTCACAGCACAGGTATACTTCATTTCTCTAATAACGTCTCTGACATCCCTTACAATATCGCACCAAGCGTAATCTTATGTTACTAAAGCAATTTACCCATATTATTTTCTTCCGTGTTTATGAAGGAAGTTGTCCGTACGGACAGCTGGCGTTTCCGGAATTTTCCTAAATTGTTATCATAAAGATGAGGTGTCCTGCCCACAGAGAAATCCGTTGGGACATTCCTAACATTACAGTTGATAAAGTCATTATGTTTCCTATTTGCCTTATCTATAATCATGATATATGTGTCCCAATGCAGCATATCATAAAAAAGCCGAGTTGACTTGTCTATTATTTTGATTCTGCAGACATATGACCGGTCTGTGTCATCGTAACTTGCATCTTTTAAATAGAAAGCTGGGGAGGGGGCCATTCTTTTGTTGCGGCATTATTCGAAGTTTTCTATCATATTTTCCTTTGAAGAAAAACTGAGCGATAGAAGTTTCGATCCCAAGCTTTTTCAGTTGGATGTATGGACATTTATTTGAACTGATCATCCTTTAGACTCAGTCTTCACGCACAACCCTCAATTCGTGCAGTGAACCGTACATTCGGATAGCTAAAAATAGTTATCGTGTTACATTCAGAAACGGGAATTCTAGGAAAACCTGGTGGGGCACAAAATTCCTGCCGTGTTGTGTATAAATTACGTTTTTCGGAAACAGTCACGCATGCTAGTTAGATAAATTTCGGTAAAGATGATCGATGCTATACTTTCTGATTCAAAGTTACCATAGAAGCGGGAACAGCCAAAACTGACGACTTTGCGGACGGTAGCTTCCTTTGGTTTGTATGTATTTGTATAACTTGTATGCTCAAGCAAATGATACCTATAGATACACGATAGCATCAGTTGTGTGTAATTAGACTATTGACACCAAGATTACTAAACAAAATGCGTTTGTGGTAGCCACATATAAAAAGTGAAAGGGGACACGGTCATAAGCGGCATTCGCCACAAGCAAATCACACAAAAGACAACTGAAACCCCTTTTGTGGTACCTTTATAAACCGAGCTGTAGCACCAACTTGCATCAGGCCACTGAGTGCTCGGTTGGAAAACCTTCGTGTGTAGACCCAGATATTTGCAAAGGCGTCCGCCCCATGACCAGCAGTGATCGTCAGACTAACACACGGTCTGTGTGTGCGTTCGCACATGCATGCATAGGCCGTTCCATTGTGGCTTGCTTGATTGTGGCAATGACATGCTGCCTTTCGTGGACAGACCAATAAGAGGTGAGAAAAAATACAGACACACTTTGAACTGATTGGTTACCTTCAGCCCGGTCGATACATTCTGCCCGTAGACTGTAGGTGGACTGCAGTGACCTGTCAGCCTTAGTCTGCCTGCGGACCAAAGTTAGGAAAAGATTGCTCTCTCGCCGGATTAGCAGGCCGCCCGAACGTTGTCGAATCACCACGCGTCAAGGCAACAACGTAAGTAGCCTTTCTTGCCATGCTCACCCATGTGATTTTAACCAATCTGAGTTTGGCCCAATCTTCCACATAATAAAAGCAACGTTTCTGCTACTCCATAAGGTGTGCAGTCCATTTCCGTTGTAACCCCTTGTTCATCCTCGTATATTGTTTTCTAGTTCATAGCGTTAATTTATTGACGAGACTGGTGGGGTCACTCATATCATCCGGAGTTTTATTCGACCAGTGCTTTTGATGTATCCTATGGTAAGCTTCCTTAAGAGGTAGAATCGAGCTATCCCACATGTCATTGTCAGAAGGTGGTGGTGACGACAGTGCGGGCGGGAATCTCGTGCTTCCCACGACTCTTTGTGCTTGGGCTTAAGCCTCGAGTTCGAGTGGACTCCATTGTTGATTTTCTCTAGCATACGGTGGGTGCACACTTAAGCTTTGCAATGGAGGTAGTTGTGCAGGCTTTACTCGTACCATTCGCCCATTTATGACACTCCCTGTTGGTTTATCGAATCAAACGTGACTTCCTTCGGTGTACTGTGGTTTATCGTTCATCGCTTACTCTCCTATTCACGATTTGTCTATTACCGCCCGGATTCACATGGTGCCACGCGCGGCATTGGGATATCAACGGGTTAGCCCGATCCGCATGCAATGATTCCATCCTGTGTTTGGTAGCGCTTTACAAACTGTCACAGACATCGCACTAACAACCACGGCGAAAATGGGGTTATTTTTACAGGGAAACAAACAAAAGATTGTTAATTTCGTTATTCTCCTTAACTGTCCGACTCCCTTTAATTTTGCTGTGTATCCCACCGTCCCTGTTCTTTTATTCATGTCATTGCATTGGCGTCAAAATGAACTTTTGACTAACAGTCTAAGTATCTTTTTACTAGAGGAGATGGTATTCCAGGTTTGTTCATTATTTTGTTTGTTTTAGAAAATAGGGTAACTAAGGTAGTATACAACATAAACGACATGAAATCGTACACGGAAACCTAGATCTGTTCATACAATTCCTCATTTTCGTGAATGGCACCAGGTTGACTTGCATTCAAATTTGTGAGCTGTATGCATCCATGTCGGTTGACCCCCATTCACGTATGGCAGGAAAGAAGAATTCGATCTCAGCATTATCCCCGTTAGGCATGATGTAAACAACCAGCCACCGTGTGGCTATGGAAAGTATTCGATAAACCAGCATCTTTGATTTCCAGGTGGTTAAAATATCTATAGTATCAGAAGGATATATCTATTTCTCTGGAGTCGCGCTGTAACCTCATCATCACCAAAACAGGTGTGTAAATTTCGGGATTCAAACGCACACCAAGATGAGCGTATAAAAAATGTGGTGTGAATGCACGACGACTGGTAACTAATCCTTTCATGACCTCCCGCCACCGATTCATCCGTGTTCGCGGAATAATAACGTGTGGAGCGTTGAAGCCAAGTTTTAACGTTATTGTTCTAGGAGATACTTCTTGTTCACTATCCCAACAGCACATTCTGTGGCTCGTTCGGTGTCCTCAAGTGCTTCAGACCAGCTATTTTTGCGTTGATAGAAATCATTTCCTTCTCACAATTGACCGCCAATAAACGTGCAATGTGCAATGTGTATCTTTTCCTTCAGTCATTCTTTGCTGAAATCTTGCTTCATTGCTTACCACTTCGGTGAGACCGATACAGTGCTCCCTCGAAGATTGCCCCTCTCTACCGTCTTTATGATCTGGAAATGATACCCTCTTTTTGACAATGGACCGTTCATAAGGTGACTCGTCCGCGCAAACATCGAAATATCCTTCGTTGTGGTCTTTTACTTGTCCGATCATTATCAGGTACACGGGGACAGGCACCGAGTGTGATTGAAGGTCACTGTTCAATAAATAATCGTCATCTGACCGCGTCCTAATGCACTTTGGGAGTTGTAAGGATAGCTGTACGTATCGGAGCTAATACGACCAGTTGTGCCTTATCTGTGGCTCGCAGCACATGCTGCGTCACCATTTGTGTTCATCGATTTGGGGCCAGCTTAACTGTTTTGCACAACTCGCATGGTTTCTCCAGCTCACAAAATCGACGTCTGTCAGTAAGCACGACAAGATCTAAACGAATATATCACAATACACTGTACTGCCAAAAGGAACGACCATAGATGAGGTTTATTGGATAAATAAACTCAACCAGGAAACTGTGTAGTGAGGGGAGGGCCAAAGAAGGGGCTGGTGTGCAATCTACGGAATTTTCCTTTGGGGATATATAGGATGACAGGCAGTAGCAGCACTTCTGAGGGACTGTTGGGTCGCCTTGGGATACTCCCTAGTCGTTGATCTTCCCCTGATACTCAATCCTCGCCTGTATCCCATGTGAAAATTCGCAAAGGAAAACAAATGAGTCATGCATTGTAGGTCGTTCATTTACTGAATTCAACGACAACCGAAGAATTGACTGACATTTTGATGGGTTGCCTAAAACGGCAGTCAAGCTATCGCATAAAAACCATGATAAAATTGATGTTCATGTTACTCATCATAGTTTTTGATATTAATAATAACGTTACGACTTATATCTTTGATTTCACCCAGATGCTGGAATTGTGATGTTCCGCGTTTCTCCTGTTGTCCAGTGAACGATGTAAATAGATTCCACACTTCGCTCTAAATACATTTTTTATAAAGGCAATGTCATTCCGGTCGGAGAACGAGCTGACAAACCACTCGAATTTGGTTAGATCTCCCGGAAATGCAGTGGATAGTTCTTATCTGGACAGCTTCACAGGAGAGGCTGAATCCTGTATGGAGAATTCTTTTCCAAGTATGAACACGAGCAGTTCGTTGCTTGATGAGGATACTATATCGGCTGCGATGCAAGCAATTGCCGAGGCGAGCCGATTTCATACCGAACTTGTCGAGTCCACCACATCTTTGGACCACACTAGTCAAAGAAACGATCAAATTCCGTTGATCTCGATTGATACTGGAAAAAGTGAGAACGATGTCAATAACCACCAAAACCGTGATGATCATAGTGGTGAGGGCAAACACAACAGCATCGCTAGTGTATCTCACTTTGAGTGTGGAGTAAAGTTGGAAACGATGGAAGTGACTACACCGGCCGAATTATCATCATCATCGATAGTGATACCAGTTACATCAGCGGAAACGCACTGCTACGATTCTAACTCTGTGTTTTTAGACTCTCTGTTCAAGTCATCCAGTTTTTCCCAACAGCAGATAACGGAGCCGGACAATTCATCAGAAACCGATCAAGAGAATTCCGATCTCGCTTTGCTATCTTCTCTACACCCAGGACAGAGTCCTTCGAATCCGAGCGAGACTCGAATGCACTCCAACTGGCGTCCCACACTTCGACCTATTTTTGAACGCGTCCTTATTGAGCGCCTTTGGACTCAAGGTGAACTGGGTGGATCGAAGCCGCGTGCTTTGTTACTCACCATGTGGTTTTTTATCTCACGCCATTTTGGAATCGGATGTCGAACGGAACATGCGCGACTTGTGCTGGGAGATTTGCAAACGCGAACAGACGCTCAAACTGGTTCTCGTTGTCTGATGTTTGTGCGGTAAGTCTTCATCTATCCACATATCAGTATGCGTCAACGACAACAACAGTTTCGATATTTTTCAAATCAACTGTTAGAATTTCCTGTGGTGCTTCAAGTTCTCTAACTCCCGAGATTTGTACTCTTAATTTGGTTGCTTATTTTCAACGACCTATCGATTAAAACAAATTGACCTACATAAAGGCAAGAACTTTATCAATTTTGTCCTGCATATTGTACGTAGGATACTAAATGTG